TTCGGGCAGCGGAGTATTGGACACATTGCAGTTTATTGAGGATGTATGCAGGGGACCAATAGAGGATGCTGTTGCAGTAATCAAGTCGGGATGTATTGAAGGCATGGATCAGAGTTTCAGCAGCGGTGGATGAGAGGGAGGGTCTGATGCGGGCAATATTCTTTAAGTGGAAGAAGGCGGTTTTTTGGTCATCGGTGGAACCGGAGTTGGTGTTGACGAAGGATCTGTCTGGGAAGATGTAAATGATGAAAAGTAGGGGACCAGTTACAGAGGTTTTCTGCCAGAGAGATATGATTTAAGCCAGAAGAGGGCGGTGCCGGTTAAGCCATTGAAGGACTGAATGCGGGTGATGAGGATGGAGTGGTTTATGGTGTCGAAGGCGGTGGTTAGGTCAAGAAAGATGAGGATGGAGTGGAGAATTTAATTTGTGACGTTGAGTAGAGCAGTTTTTTGACAAGCACTCTTTGACAAGGGTGGAGAGGATGGGGTCCAGGATGAGGGTTGAAATTGTCATGCCAGTGACTAGGGAAGCTAGGTCAGCAGTCGTGATTTGAGTGAATTATGTAAAAGGTTGATTCGAAGGAGGAGGGAAGGAAGGTTCGAAGAAAGGATGGGTGGTGGAGGAGTTGGAAGCGCTGGCCAGTTGGCTGTGTATTTCAATTTTGTCCTTAAAAAAACAAGATAAAGGTAGTCGCATTTGGTGGCAGTGAAGGAGTTGGAGATGGTGTCCATAGGTTTGAGGAGTTTGCTTATGCTTGCTTAAAAGTGTATTAGGGTAGTTGCTGCCAGATTGTATGACGGAGGAGTAGTGGGAGGAGAGTGCGCCGTTGAGGACGTCTTTGTACTGCTGTTGGTGTGGTTTGTAGACATCTTTATGTATCATAAGATCGGTTCTATTTGCAAGTCTTTCGAGCTGGCACGCCTTTAGATTGGAGATGTCGGAGATGATAAGTGTACCAGGGGGTGGAGTGAGTGAAAGAGACAGATTTGGTTTTTATTGGAGCACGTTGATTGAGACAGGAGGAGAGAGCATTGTTGTAAGTGTAGACCAGGTCAGCAGGTGAATCGTACTGGATGAGGGATTGTGTCAGCAAATCGGGAGGAGAGGGAGGAGGGGTTTATGGATTTGAGATTCCAGAAAGTTATGGTGCGCTTCTGCTTGATGAGGGGGGTTGGGGTGAGGATGTCCATGGTAATTGCCAGATGGTCGGAGATTGTGAGGTCAGAGGTGTTCAAATTGCTGATGGAAATGCCAGACTTGCAGACCAGGTCCAGTGTGTGACCTTTTTTATGGTTGGGAAAGTCTAAATGCTGTGTGATGTTGAAATAGTTGAGAATGTCCAGGAGTTATGTAGTGGCTTTGGAGTCAGGTGAGTCAACATGAATATTGAAATCACCCAGAAGCAGAACATATGGAGATATGGAGCAGAGTTGTGTTAGGAATTCAGACAGGTCAGAGGAGAAAGCAGGGTTTGGATTCGGGGGACAGTAAATGACTGCAGCAACCAGGGGTTTTGGACCAGACAGTTTAAAAGCAATGTATTCAAATGAGGAGGAAGCCTGTATGAACATTGCATTCGTTTTTATGTGATTACGATAGAAATTTGCACAATCATACCACCCGCGGCCATGGTTGCGTGGTTTCTTCATGCATTTGTATCTGGGGGGTGTAGTCTGTTTGAGGGAGAAGTATTCCTGTGATTTTTGCCAAGTTTCAGTGATGCAGAGAAAGTCCAGATTATTGGATGTGATGAATTCATTGAGAATGAGACCCTTGCTATTCAGAGACCGGGTGTTAAATAGAGCAAGTTTGAGATGTTGTTGAGTTTTAACAGGCTGGGGTGCTTTGGGAAGGGGGTTGTAGGCAGGCAGAATGCACGTGTTGGTTGTTGTGATGATGACATGGTGGCGGGGTGGTGTCACTGCGCGCAGCAGACCAGAGGGATGGGATGGAACGACCGGACCGGGAGTAAAAAACTTTCTTCCGGAGCTTCTGTGGATGTATTTTGGTCGTTGTTGCAGTCCTTGATTTCTGATGGCGGAGATTATCGTTGGGCATAGTGGAGTGGAAAACTGTTTAAGCTGGAGTAGTTGTGCAAGGGAGTATGTCCGTGTCATGCCAGACGGGGAGGATGCGAGACAGGAGTTGTTTGCCTGTTGCAGTGAAGTTGTTGAGAGGATAAGTGACAGAGTCAGCAGGAATCTCCACAGCATGGCTGATCGGGCCGAGTGGAGAGGTTGAGTCAACTGCCAATGAGAGAGCGGGAGTGCGAGGGAGAAAGATGGCGAGGAAACGAAGCCGGTAGACGGGTCCGCTGCTAGCGTTTAGCATCTAGCCACCCGGTGATTGGAGGTTGGCTAGCTGAGTGCTAGCTGTAGAGGTAGCAATCCCGGCTACCAGGGCTGACCGCACCGGGATATCTGAGAGACTGTCAGGGAAATACCTCACAGTAGCTGTGCCGTACAGGAGACGAAGGTATCCAATGGCCAGGACAGCTGATGGCAGGGATCAGATGAGTTTGGTGATAGCGGCCGGATGGGGGCTCGTAGCTAGCAGGCTAGCAACCGTTGAGCAGTTGATCACTAACAGGTAGGTGACAACAACTACTTGAAAAACAAAGTAACGATACAGATGAAACAAGAATTCACTCGCACTGATTACACATAAGAACAAGTACACTATTAGCTCTACCCAGGTAGAAGGAGCAATAGCAGTTCACACACAGAACTGAACTATAGAGATCTTGAATCATCTTATTTAAAAGGGAAAGGACTCTTATTTGTTTAGTTTTTATTTATTTTGAAGTATGTCAAGAGCTCTATTTTTTATTATTTATTGTGGGCACAAAATCTAATGTGAAAGTTGATAAATATTGCTGCCAATAAAATTGTCAACTGTTCAACTAAATCTAACTCCTCCCCAGAGTTGTTCAAGGCATACCACTATTCGGACCTAGATAGATGTTAGTGTCTCTATTTGTGTGAGATAGGACTACAGGTTCTACATTATCTTATCTTAATGCACAACAGGGAGTTGCAGCAGCTTGCCGCAGTAACACATTGCTGGGCCCCGAGGCATATTCTTGTGCTACGAGCGGGAAGAAATTATTTGTAATAATAAAATACAATAAAAAGTTACCTTAACAAACCTCAAGTCACCTGTTAGTGGCATGATAATCAAAATCAATCAGAACGAATGACCAGTCGGACTTCAAACAAATGAACTAATTGGAGATGGGAGAGGTTAGGTGATTGGGGGATTTCAGTGCTTGTGTGGCATTCCAATTAAAAAAAATAAAAAAGAGATGGGTTCATTCTTTATTATCTGAAATCCATTGTTTTCTTTTATTGTACAGCTATCTTCAGTTTGTCCATGTTAATTATGTGAGGTAGAAAGGAAGATATTGTGCTGTTTTACGAGCTGACAGACCTTTGATGATGACTGATCACCTAATGTTTGAGTCAGATTGGACTCATACTGAAGGCTCAGGTAGCAAACATGATGTAGAGATCTCAGAGTATCCGAGGGAAACAAAGCCATTAGCTCAGCTGAGACACTTCACAATCTTGCTGACCTTTTTACAGCTGCTGTTTGATCCATCATGATTTCCCTTAGCTGCACCAACAGGAGACCTGCCCTCACATGTTACTCTGCTGTGCATGGATAGCAGCAAGGAGCTGTGCACACAACAAACATCTCCATGTAAACAGAAATGCTGAACCACTCTCCAACACAGAGTCGATCTCTCTGTGGGTTTTGGAAAGCTTGGTTCTTTGGTAATACTGCCACACACTTTCTTGAGCCAGCTCAAAAGAGAAGCTTGATGGGGATCTGTGTCCACATAGCACCTCATTCTGTGCACCAGCTGATCTGAACACTTAAGCGCTGGTGACTGGTAGGGTTGCAAAATTCCGGGAATTTTCAAAGATGGAAACTTTCCATGGGAATTTATGGGAATAAACTGGGAATTTTCAAAATGTTAGGTTGGCTCTTCATAGGGAACTTAAACATAGTTGGGGAAAGTATATTTTAGCATAATCTTGACTAAAACAAATAGATGCCATTCAAGTACACTTGAATATCCATGCCATAGCACACTGCTTACTGCATGGCTATTGAGACCACACAAAGGTTTGCAACAGGCTCACAAATGTGAGAGTGGAAAAACTGGTTGGCATNAAATTGTTATTATTACAAGAAGTGCATTCGACCAACAAGATACAAACTTGAACAAAACAGAATCATATAAGTACATCAGGTTTCATAGAGCTAAAACATTTCAAGTGCTACTCAACTAGCTTTAGAAAAGCCAGTCCTTTATTAGTATATAAGTGCTTTGTTAGCAGTT